TTTGTATATATATTTTGTATATATATTTTCCCAGAAAAATATATAAACCCAAAGGATACCATGGTCGATGGTATCGAAAGCTGCTGAGAGACCAAGAAAAGCAAGGATGGATGCACTACTCCCATCCTGCTCTCGCCAGAGATCATCTAAAAGTGTGACCAATGCTGTTTCTGTCCCATAACCAGGCCTGAAACCTGACTGATAAGGGTCCAGATAATGTTTCCTCCAGGATCCTCTGAAGCTGTCGCGCAACCACCTTTTCCACCACCTTTCCTAAAAAGGGAAGGTGGGAAACTGGATGAAAATTGTCCAGAAGGGCGGGATCTAGCGATGGTTTCTTGAGGAGGGGGCAGACCCGGGGCCTCCTTAAAAGGCTTCAGGAACACCCCCTCCTGCAAGGATGAATTGACCACTGCCAGTACCCACCCTAATGTCACCTTCCTGGAAGCTGTGATGATCTGGATAGGGGAGAACAGGCTTTGGCTCAACCCTGGTAAGACAGAGTCACTGTAGTTTTTAAGGCCCCCTGATTCTGGGGGTTTTCCATCTTTAACTCTGCATGGGGGTGCACTTCCCCAGTCAGAGTTGGTGCACAATTTGGGGGGCCTCCTGGACTCGGCTCCTGCTTGAAGAGCAGAGGGTAACCATGGTCAAACAGCTGTTGCACAGGTTTGTCTTGTGCACCAGTTTGTCTTGTGGACCATAAGGCCTTGCTTAAGATGATTCATGCCTTAATTGCCTCCTGTTTGGATTACCGTAACACGCTGTACATGAGGCTGCCCTTAAAGAGTACCTGGAAGCTGCAGCTGGTCCAGAATGCAGTGGTGTGGGCAGTTTTTGCCATTTCTTGTTAAACCCATGTAACACCACTGCTCTGCAAGCTCTACTGGCTCCCAGTAGGCTTCCAGATACAATTCAAGGTACTGGTCATCATCTATAAAGCCCTCCATGTCATAGGGCCAGGCTATTTGTGGGATGGCCTTTCTCCTATAGTCTGCCCACCCACCAGATGTAATAGAGAGGGCATGCTCTGGGTCCCTTCTATTAAACAGTGTGATCTTGTTGGACCCCAGAATCGTGCCTTCTCAGTGACAGCGCCTGCCTGTGGAACACCATCCCCCAGAGATTTGGATGGCCCCAACTCTGTTAGCCTTTCACGAGGTATTGAAGACCTGGCTGTTCCCACAGGCATTTAGATCAGGAAGAAGATGAGCTCTGCTACTATTGATGGTTAATAGTTAACAGTTTATCCTTGAGCAGAGGGGAGGAAGGTTACGTTTGGGAGTGTTGTTCATTTTTAATCTTGTAAGCCGCCCAGAGTCAGTTGTGTGAGATGGGTGGCTATATAAATGATATAAATAAAAAATAAATAAATCCTGTCACTGAGAATTTTCTATGTGATGGGATTAATACTGTTGTAAAGATTAAATAAGGAATCAGGGCTGTGTAAGACTGCAATCAAATAGTCTGCCTTGGTCTTCTGCAACCAGGTACTCTCCAATGTTTCTTGGATTGTGGCTGTGAATTCTAGGAGTAATCCAATAATCTGGAAAGCTAATCAGTCCTGGATATTTAAATTGGGAAGAGAAGTGTTTCACTCATGTTAACATAGTTTGCGAAGCATTCCCTTTAAATATGTTGAATAGCTCTAAATACAGCATTAACCTCTTTTAAAATTGGCTGACTGAAAAAACAGCGTGGTTTCAGATTAGAGATTTTGACCTTTTTGAAAATTATTCTGTCTACCTTTGTTTATTTTTATTTGTATTTTTTAAAACATTTTTAAACCACCCAATGGCTAAAACTGGTCATTTACAATAAAACGTGCTAAAAATACAATTTGAGTTAAATCATATACAATACAATCAAATACAATACAATATACAATACAAAATAAAATAAAGATACCATACAAACTAGGCAGCATCATGGTGGTTGTCAGAATTTAAAACAATACAAATTAAAATACAATTTAAAAGCCTTGGGAAGTACATTTGTATTTGGCATTTTATATTACTATTTGTAGCCTTGTATGTTTATGGGACTAAGTAATTTTTTAACCTGGAATGCCAACTACTTGTTGGGTTTTCCCACAGGAATTGCTTATAAAAGACTTCCGGGAATTGCGGTCCACTGTTGAGAAAATGGGACTTCTGACGCCAAATCTCTGGTTTTTCTTTCTAATTTTTATTCATATTATATTGTGTGACGTCGGTGCCTGGTTGACTATCTGGTATTTTGGGACATCTTCAGTACCATTCTTTGTGGGTTGTGCATTGTTTACTATTGCTCAGGTACAGTATGGACCTTGTCATGTAATAAGAATCAATATGTTTTTCCATACGAGGAGGATTTAAAGAATTCCATACATTTCACTAGAGACACAAATAACTGCAACTCTTTGTAACACTAGATTTTAGGGTTTGTTTGTTTTTTAATTGTAATGCAACAACATTATTCCTTATGTCACATGACGTAACAGTTTTAGCATCTAGGATACTTCCACACAGCTTTGCAATATAATGGTAGTTGGCACTTGGTTATTCTTTTGAAGTCAAAATCAAATTACAGGGAGTCCTAGTTAATTACAGTAATCAGGACCAGAATTTCCATCACTAAGCAATGTGGCTGTAAAGCGTGATGGCAATCTCCACTGCCATTGTTAAGCAAGGACTGCACAGGTCATTAAGCAAGGACCTCACATGACTGTGACATGGAAAGAGGCAGGAATCCAGAAGCACTTGCTTATGTCTCTGAAACTGCATTGCAGGCCAGTTGGTGGGTTGGCACTACAGAGTGTGGGCAGGCAGGTGCAGAGTACGAGATCCCCATACTGCCCGGTAGCTCATTGGAAGAAAAAGCAATGGGAACAACTTGCAGCCTGCTAGCTTCTGCATTGACTTTGCTCGTGGGAAGCTGGCAGGGAAGGTTGCAAATGGCAATCATGACAGTGGAATGCTGCTACTGTCGTAATTGATAAATATGATAAAGAAATAAATAGCGAGCCGGCTGCCAAATGCCCGAATCACAATCATGTGACCACAGGGACACTGCAGCAACTTCAAGGACCAGTCATATGTCGTCCTTGTTCAGCACTGTTGTAACTTCGAACAGTTGCTAAACAAGTGGTTGTAACCCGAGGACAACCTGTAACTCCAACTCACAAACACTTGTTTCCAGAATTCTTTTTGCGTTTCAAGGCTTAATCTAGTAAGCATGACCTGGGATGCTGATGTAACTTAAGAAAGAAAAATTACTCATACTTTTCTAACTTGGAATAAAGAGAATTATTCCTTTTCACAATAATGCCCAGTTTCTTTATCAGACTCTCCTGGCCAAGTTGATTACTGGCACCCTCCCCAAGAAGCAAGATTCAATCCAAGCATATACATATTTGACAACTTACACTTCTGGAGAAGGCTCTGGAACTTTCATGTAAGAGCAGACATTGCTCAAGCCAGAAACAGTGCCCCAACCCTGCTGGCATTTCACAAACAAGCCAAAACATTTTCGTTTCAGCGTACATTTGGCCCTTAGATTGGTTTATTTATGAGTACCTTTGATAATACTTATCAGTATTACTATCTTAATTGTATTGTGTTTATATTTTGATTTTGACTTGCTAATACTCCACCCAGACTTCTTCAGGATTAGGACAGGCTATAAATATCATGAAATAAATAATCTGTTTTGTCAACAGATTGATTCCTATCTAAGAGTTCCTAATTTATCCTCTTACTAGATATATGAAGCCAGTTATTTCACACCTAAAGCCATAGAATAACAATCCATGGTCCAAATGCAATTCATAGACAGGGACCAATTAGCTCCAGCTTATCTCTGTCTTCTGTACAATAGGAGGTTGTTTTAGCTCTCACACGTTTCTTCTCCCTGTTGTGGCTTCCTCTAAAGAATGTGCTAGTCTGAGTCTTTAAACATCAGTTAGTTATGTATATCCAGAAGGCAGACAAGTAGAGTGAGATGGAGAAGGAAAGAATTCTTATTCCTGTGCAAATGGTTCTTAAACAGTTGCAATAGAAAGAAAGTTCATCCTAGTGGAGACCATCTTAGAACTGTGGAATTTAAGTCTTCCAAATCATTATGTTAGTTGAGCTTCTTCATCTTTGGGCTGTCTGCCTTTTCAATAGATTAAAGGTTGCAGGTTTACCTAATGTTATTTTATTTAACATGAATATCTCCCAGAACTGTGCTTTTAAAATGCATTGATTTAATTCTGTATTGTATATGAAATGAACTTCATATATGAATTTTATTTTTAAAAGTATTTCTTTTTCCAGGGCCAAATGTCCTGGTTACAACATGACTTGGGTCATCTTTCAGTCTTTAGTACATCCAAATGGAACCATGTGGTTCATAGGCTCTTCATAAGTCAACTGAAAGTAAGTGTCCTGTTCTTTAAGGAAGCTTTCCTTTTTGTCATCATATGATGTTGAAGTCTACTCTGTTCTTAATCTTCTATCCCCTTTCTTCTAGGGATTACCAGTCAGTTGGTGGAATAATTTGCATTTCCAGCATCATGCCAAACCAAACTGCTTTCGTAAAGACCCTGATCTCAACATGCATCCCCTTGTGTTTGCTCTAGGGAAGAAACTAGCTAGAGAGGTACATTTGTGGGATTCATATTTTTGAAACAGCAAATAGGAGACACTGAAGACAATAAATCTTCATTATCTATGTTTTGTGTTTGCCAACCCATTTTGTTGTTTTTAGTTTTTCTTTTAAACTTACCTTGTTCAATTTACTTTTACTGGGTCATTTTGTTTGATTTACTTTTACAGGTAGTCCTCGTTTAGCAACCACAGTTGGAACCAGCAACTCAATCGTTAAGCAAAGTGGTCCCTAAGTGAAACCACGACTGTACTTACGATCTTACTTCAGCTTTCCTTTGATTTACAGACCTGCAGAAGTCATAAATGCAAGGATTGGTGGCAACGTTTTCATCGCTGTCATAACTGCGAACAGTTGTTAAACAAGACAGTTGCTAAACGAAAGCTACCTGTATTCACTTCTGCTATCTTCATGTCAGTACACTGCATATGTCTCCTAGCTGGTAGGATACAGGCAACAGTATGTTGCCTTGCAAGGTAGTCTTTACATTGAATAGTATAGACATGGTTGGGGTAAATCTGATCTTTGGTTAGCAAAAGTGTACCAAAACTGACCAATATTGTATCCTTACAGTTAGTAGGGAATGTGATGGATTGATTATGTGCCATCAAGTCATTTTTGACTCCTAGCCACCATATAGATAGATTTTCTCCATGACAATCTATCCCTAACATGTTCTGAAAGACTCCCAATGGTTCACTCTTTGGAACTGTAACTGAGTCCATCCAATTTACTGTTGGTCATCCTCTTCCCTTTCCTTCCACCTTTCCTAGCATTAGCACTTTCTCCAAAGAGCTAGATCTTCGCATAATGTGTCCGAAGTAGGATAATTTGAGCCTGGTCATTTGCTCCTGGGTTGATTTGTCTGATGATTTATCAGTTTGTTTTCTTGGCTGTCCACAGTATTCTCAGGAGCCTTCTCCAACACCAAAGTTCAAGGGCATCAACACTCTTCCTATCCTGCTTCTTCAAAGTCCAACTTTTCCTTCTATAGAGTGTCATAGGGAATATCATGGCTTGCACAATTCTGATCTTTGTAGGTATAGACACATCTGAAAAGTTATGTGAAAGCCTTAGTTGACCAAAGCCATAATGGGTGATGGAGGTCAGTATTCATGGGCCCTTGTTGATAACCATGGTGGATGGAATATTGTAACACGGAATGTCAGAAGGGTACAGGTAGTCCTCAATTAGCAACTGCCTCTTTCAGTGACCATTCGCAGTTACAGTAGTGATGAAAAAGTAACTTTGCAACTGATCCTCGCATTTAGAACCTTTGCAAGTCTGCAAAGCAAAGGAAAGCTGAAGTAAATCATAAACACAGTTGTGGTTTCACTTAGCCACTGCTTGGCTTAACAACCAAGTCGCTGATCCCAGTTGTGGTTGCTAAACAAGGACTAAGCTTATGAATGAAGTGGAAGAAAGAAAAATGTTTGTGAAATGAAGAGAAAAGAAAGGATGATACCAATCTGGTCTGACCTTATGGACTGTAGTTGATAAATACAAGCATTGGAAGTGAATATGTAAGTTTAACTATTAGAGGGCTAAAATTTGTTAGAGAATATGTATTGGTGTTGGTGCTTTTGAAAGTAGTTACTGTAGTAGGATGGTGATAATTGGACAACATGTTCCAGTGAGTGATGAAAATGAAAGAATCAGGAATGAATTTTGGGAACGTTGTGCTTTATTCAGAATGTACCTTATTTGGGAGAAAAAGTTATTTTGTTAGGAGACAAGACTAGTTGCATGGCCATACAGAAAGCCAAGAATGAATGAGAACGATAATTGTTTGGTGAGTGTCTGCTTAGAAAAAGATCTGTTTATTTGTTTTGAATAAATGGTTTAAGCACAAGTCTGTGCATACACATAAGATGAATGGATCTAAAAACATTGTTTTGATTGTGATGAAAATATTGAGAGAATCAGTGAAGGATACAGAAGTAATGAAAGGGGCAAAATAAATTTTTGGACTCTTGTGCTGGGGGGGCGGTTATGAGGGTTTTTAGGGGCAAAAATAATGCTTTAGCTTTGTTACTTTAAAAAAAATGTTGTTTTAAAAGAGTGCAGTAAGCCTCTGCAAAAATTAAGGCACCCATTTTACCTCTTAAAAATCTGTCCAACACACAACATCTGAACATTTTGGCCCTACATGGGGGCTGACACAGTCCATGGATTGTACCAACATAGAGAACGAAAGGGGTATGATAGTGAGGAAATAAATATCTGTTGTTTGAATGAACTGCTGATGTCTCTTTCTTCATAGATTGGATTGCAGAAAACAAAATTCATGCCTTACAATCATCAACACAAGTACTTCTTCAGTAAGTACCTCCATCACTGAAAAATACCACACATTCACTATTTACAGTAACTCCACTGGCCCTCCTGATTTGTAGAACAGGAAGGTACAAGTTATAATATCTAAGATAGTGGACTTTGCAAATCAAAGGGTATAGGATAACCAGAGAAGACTTACATGTTGGGATCCAGGGTGAAAATGAGAGTTGTCAGTGTCATGTCATAAGAATTTGGGAGTAAAGACAAATGATAACATCAGAAATGAAGAGTTTGAATGTGAGAAATTAATATGCTGGTTCATGATGCAATAAAGATTGATTTGATATGAGAAATTAAAGATGCTGAATTGCCACAAGAGAAGGTAAGGTTGAGGGAAGACAGAATAATAAGTACTTTACTTTATTGGCTGTTGAAACATGTCAGTTTTTGAGTTGATTAAGTTGAGCTATAAGTGTGAATAGAAATATAAGCCAGATGAGGAGAGAGAAAGTGTAGAATGCATTATAACCATTATAACTTGGTCAGAAGAAATAGGGGAGAAGAGTGAATGTGTATGTTCCTAAAGAGATGCATGTTTCTTTTCCTTGTTTAACAGTAATGGCACCAGTTTTAATAATTCCCTTCTTCCAGTTGTCCATATACTACTTTACAATCAAGCGTAGAGAGTGGTTGGTAAGTATGCCTACCATTAGCATTATGCACAAAATAGGAAACATGTTTTGTTTCAGACCCACTACGTGTCATCAGGTTCTGGAAATTCTGTTCAGCTGTTTTGGGTTAGCTGCAGTTTGGCAGAACTAAAACCTAGAATGCTTTGGTTATCCCCAGTTTCAAATGAAACAAAATCTGGGCAGGACAAGTAGGGCAAGGCTGGTGCTCTCAATGTAGTTTATCCCATTGGTCTGCCTCCCCCCCACTTCCCAGCACATTCCTCCTCCTCAGCTGTTAGGCTACTGATGTCCTAGCATGGTATATCCCACTGGCCCACTCCCCTTACACTCTTCCCTTTTCCTCCCTCCCCTGCCTCCTGTCAGGTACCACCACCAATATCCTTGGATTTTTTTCCCATAGTCCCAATCTCTGAGCTTTTTTCTGCCCCAAAAGTTTCTGCTGTATTTATGTCCATGCCTAGAATGAAATGGTTTATGTGTGGAATGTTTTGCATATCCCTACTTATCATTCTCCAAAAGCCTACACTGCTGGGGGAACTTATTTGGTATGTAATCTTATAGCATAGGATTACTTGTAGAAAATACTGTCTTTTCTCTCTTTCTTCTGAAACAGGACCTAGCCTTGATTATCTCTTACCAGATCAGGATCTTCCTTATCTACATACCCATTATGGGATTTAATTCCTTTATGGCATACTACTGGCTGTCCAGGTAACACTGACTTTTATTTTATGGTTAGGTTCTCTATAGCTGAAGGTTAACTTCATATCCTGAATTAATTTTTTCTTAAATAATTATCATCTACTCTGAATATTTTTGATGTCTAGCAAAAAGATCCTTCTAATTCTTCCATTGTGCCAAGTCCCCTATATCGGCCAGCAAACCTTGTGGGATGGGGGCTAAATTAAAAAGTATTAAAATATGGGTAAGGAAATCTCGGTCTCTGGCTTTCTTCCTTCCAGTTTGATTGAACTAAAATGAGTTGGCGGTATCTCAGAGGCAGCTAACTACATGCATACTCACCAGCTACAATGAGTCACAACCTATTTGCAAATCCTTTGCCACAGTCCTGGCTCTTTTCTCTCAGGCTCTTATCAAAGCAGTTAGATCCAGCATGGTTCCTTCTTTGTGCCATGTACTGCTTAAACACCTCCCTGTCCCTTTGCTCCAGGATTCAGACCTTCTAATCACCTCAGCCTTCTAAACCAGTGGCAGCACCCAATTTAAGCCAATGATAATAGAGACGTGTCCAATCCCTGCTTTATATTAGTCCAAGAAAGGATTAAAACAATCAAACTTTTAGCAAGATACAAGATCTTTTGGTCAAATTGCCCAGGACAATCTGAAATACTTGAAACAGCTGCAGTTCCAAGTGCAGAGTTTTCCCTCTCACCTAGATTACCTCTGTTGCTCAAAAAAAAAAAAACCCCAAACAGTCCTATCCAGTCACAAAAGATCAAATCACCTCAGCCTCTCAGCAACATTCGCCCATCTGGATTGCTCCATTAAATATAATTAATATGAACTGCACCCCTTTATATTTCCCCTTGTTTTATCACAGAATTTTGAACCCATCTGACATTTCATTAATATGCAACACTAAACCTGTAACAAACACAGCTCTTCAAAATTTTCTCTATTTTTGTATGGTTTCTCTTTCTTACTACCATCAGTTATGAATCCAGAAGGAATCATAATCCATTCTCACTTAGCCTTGTGGGGGAACTCCTCAAGTATTCCTTGGAAGCCTTGACAGAATGTATTCTGCATTTCTTGGGAATAGCCAGAGTCAATGTCTGCACAGATACTATCAAACTTCTGAAATTGTTCTGCAGGAATATAAGCCAACTTTCTTATTCCCCACACCAGGGGATGTTCCAAGATTTAAGGAAATATATACAATAAATAAGGAATGAATGGCTGACTCCCTCTCCATAAAACCATAATATTACTAGTGGGTTTGCTACCATAGCTAGACAATGCCAGCCCTGTAAGGCAGACCAGACTAAAAAAAAAAAATGCCATGTATATAAAGCTACTTTTATTGGAATAGTTATAGTAATAGAATCTTGCAAGTCTGAATGTGTGTCCCCCCCCCCCATCAATTTATCTTTGTGAGAATTAGGGAGAGGCTTTCCTAAATGGATTTCCTTCATTTAGTTCAGTGTAGTTTTCAGTGCTTATGGCAATGTGCCTTTCTATATTTTCATGAGTGTGAAATTTTCAGGCATACCACTAACTTCCAAAATTGGCTTCCATCTCTACTGGGAGTAAAAATGTAAATATTAGTATGCTGCTGAATTCTTTTGGGCCTGCCACTGGTCCAACAGCAAGGTAAGATATCCTCAGTTGTAATTGTAGTTTGGCCTGGTAGAATAGGGTATGAGATTATCCTCTCAGAGCAGGGCCATTTTGTTGAATGAACCTCAGATCATATAGAAGCATTCAACAAAAATATTTTCTTTTCTGGCCTTGGCTATGTTGCCTTTACATCCAGTGGCCACAAAAATAGGTAGTTCTCCCTGGAGTGTGGTCTTGCGATACATATTCATCTTGGCTCTCATTTTCATGGCGGAAAGGAGAAGGAAAATTTCACATGTCTCTCATCACATTTATGCCCAATATTCCAAATGCTGTACTCCTTTTACTTGCTTACTTTGATGACAATGACCAACTTCTGGGTGAAACTTCTCTCCACAAATATCAATCTCCATCAGTTGGTTCTGAACCAATGTGTGCAAGGCATTCCACAGGTACACTATTCATAGTGAGACTTAACTGGACACAGGCCAAAGACTTGTTCCTGAAACTTCTCGTTTGAGTTAACATTATCAGGAACAATTGGCTTCAGGGTATCCTTAGTCTTCTTTGAGTTAGTACATGTCCTCTTTGCATTTATAACACATAGTTTTGCCTTGGGCATCCATCTTAGGAGTCCTGACTGGAATGGGCACAAAAAACACATTGTCTTCCTCCAAGAACAAAGGGGGCTCACATCTCACCCTATCCCAAAGCCTGGGAAAGAGCTGGGTCTTCAAGGCTCATTTGAAGGAGAACAGAGTTGGAACTGTTTGAATCTCTGGTGAGATGCTGTTCCAGAGAACAGTCATCACAACAGAGAAAGCATGCTTCCTTGGTCCCATCACATGACATTTTAAAGGTCTGTCTGATATTACAGAAAGGGCAGAAACAATGGAGAAAAGATGGCCCCTCAAATCACTAGGCCCTACACTATATATGGTTTTGTAGGTAATAACCAGCACCTTGAATTACATCCTGAAGCCTACTGGTAACTAATACCACTCATGAAGCAGAAATGTCATGTGACCACATTCTGGACCAGTTGAAACTTTCATGTGGCTCCAAGGGCAGCCCTATACCTGAGGTAACTAAGGCATGAGTGACTGTGAGAAGGGGCTCCTGGTGCAGGAATGGGCTCAATTGGTGCACAAAATAAACCTGTGCAAAAGACTTCCTGGCCACAGTTGCCACCTGCTCTTTGAGCAGGAGCTGAGTGTTCAGGATACCCACCAAACTGTGCACTAGTTCCATCTGGGGAAGTTCAGCTCCATTCAGAACCAGAGATAGAAAGTCCCCAGACCTAGAAGGTCTATATACCCAAAACCACATGGTCTTGCTAGGGTTGAGCTTAATCCTGTTCCACCCCCCGTTCAGACTTCCACAGCCTCCAGGCACTGGAACAACACCTTGACAACATCACTCAGGCAACCAAGGGTCAAAATATTCAGTTGAGTATCATCAATGTATGGATGACACCTGACCCCATGCTTTATGTTCATATCACTTAGCGACAGAAATTCCAGTCCCAATTGCCATCGTAACCCAAGGACTACCTGTAAAGGGAAAACTTTACCTCTACGTTGATGTGGAATTCAACTTCTTCACAACTCCTGAACAGATTCATTGTTAACAAATTCACTGAACTGTCTTGATCCCAAGATGCCTTTCCTTGTCAGTAACAATTGCTTCAGTGCACATGTAACATTACTCTTTTTGTCCCAATTACACATTCACTATTCCCTGTTATCCCAGCTTGGAGAGATCCTTTTGGAATTTTTCATGATCACTTTCTTTATTAGAATAATTTGTACACAGGAAGCACTAATACATATCCCTAGAGGACCTGCCTCCAGTTTGGGGTCTTTACTCAGTGGTCATTATGGGATCTACCTTATTGCAGTGTGACACATTGCTCTATAGCTTTACTGAAAACTTTTGGAAAGTCAAATATGCAATCTGTGTAAATGAATTGTGCTTTCATTCCATCTTTAATGCATACCTGCTTCTGTAGTATTATGTGGCAAAAAATTCATTTGACAATATATGTGACTTTGCAGATTTGTGGAAGCAAATTGGTTTATCTGGGTTTCACAAATGAATCACATTCCAATGAATATTGACCATGACGCAAACTTAGACTGGGTATCTACCCAGGTAAGTCTATTTTCTGTTGTTCAAAGCATTGATTTTTGAGACTGATCATAGCATGTTTTAGAAAAGTGATGATGCCAAAGTTGGGGGGGGCGGGGGGGTCTTGAATCTTATATTTTCCCAATTTGGTAGTCCTTGGATTCATACAAACTAGATACACATGCATTCCATCCAAACTTATCTCTGCATAGCTTGGTACCGTGCTCAGCCTCTCCTTCCAACAGAAACATCCAGGAGAAGTTTAGTTTAAAATTTAAAGGCAACCAGCAGCAGATACAAAACGACAACCACAGAAGAGGCAAAGAAAATACTATCTGACTGTGAAAGATTGAAATCCTGTGGCCAGTCAGTACAGAAACTGAAGTAGGTAAAAAAGAAAGGGTCCAATTTTGTATAAGGCAACTTTTTATCATTCTAACGTAGGTATCTCTTGAAGAGGTGGGATTAAAGGTGGAAAGGCTTGGAAAGAACCTGGAAAAGGTCAGGAAAAAAATAGAAAAATTCAGGGATTAAAAGTTTTTCCTTTCCTATTTTTTTCCTAAGCCTTTTTTTCCCCTTAAAAATGGAGAAAACCTTTGGAAAGAGTAAAGGGACTATACTGAATAGTTCTCTTTTTGAATAACAAATGAAATAAGACAAGGAGACTCATATATTGCTATCCTTCATGCCCACCAAATATTTTCTATTAACTTGTAATGGGAAGACTTGTAATTATCTTAGGTATTAGAGCAATGTAGTTCCTGGACCCAGGAAAATCAGTGTAGAACTGTCAAATGCAAGAGGGGAGAATTCAGGTCCTGATTGCTTGCTGGCTTCTCTATTCTGACTTTTTAGGTAGAGGTTGGTGGATCTAGGGAGCTCTATAATATAATGAGAGAAACAGGTTCCTGCTTTACAATATGGAATCTGGTTTTGAGCACATGATTACCAGCTGCTCTCTGGATGCTAGGTGGTGGTAAGTCCAGCGAGAGAGCCAGGTTTGAAAAATCCAGACTTGCTGACCCTCCCAGAAAAGAATGGCTCTAGACAGGAGTTCCTAGGACCCTGAAGAGAGGGAGCATTCCTGTATTATCTCTGGGGGACATTTATTTGTTTATTTATTTATTTATTTATTTATTTATTTATTTATTTATTTTCTCACCTGCCCATCTCCCCCCAACGGGGGAACTCTGGGCGAGTGGCATATAAATTTAATTTATAAATAAATAAATAAATCCTGAAGTAACCAGTAGGTATTGGGCTGATCCAGCCCCTATAATCACCGATTGCACTGCTGGCAGCAAAACTCTGTCAAATTTTGGACACCTTAACATTGCCTTAAGGTGAAATTCCACTTTCATATGGGGACAAGTTAAAAAAAAGAGAGAGATTGCCAGAGCATGTTTGTCCTGTGCAAACATGGGGTTATGGTTTAAACATGCAAGTGGGGATATGGCTTAAAACCAGATATGTTCCAGGTAGAGTATGCCCACCCTACATGGTCTAGCCAGGAAAGGAAGCAGCAGATACCTGTACCCACATACCGCAGCAATTGGGAAGGCCTTTCACTTTAGAACACCCTCCCTCTGAGCTAACGTTAGCCTTCATCCTTTTATCATTCAGAAGGGCTGTGAAAACACTCCTCTTTTATCAGGCTTTGCGGGGCGCGGTTGTCCTTTTACAGTGATTTGTAAGGGTTTTAATGTATTGTTTTTTTATGTTGGAATATGTTTGAATGTTTTAGAATTGTAAGCCTCCTAGAATCTGGTGAATACGCAGTATACAATTTATTTTAAGTAAATGAATAAATACCAATAATAGCAAAATGCAGTCCCAGCTTCTGTGGGATCCAGTTTATGCTAGTGAGAGATAAAACAGATCCAGCTATCTAGCTTGGCATTTTGCTTACTGCCACCAGATGTTCCACTGGAATAAAAATTAGGATGAAGTCTCAGAACGGAAATATTGTATAAGTATGTGAAACAAGGAAAAAATATCCTTTCTTGTTTTCCCACAGCTCCACGCAACATGCAACGTGGATCAGTCGTTTTTCAATGACTGGTTCACTGGTCATCTGAATTTCCAGATTGAACACCAGTAAGTAAAATCCTTAGGGTAACAAAATTATTTAGATGACCACCTAGCATGGTCCCAGGGGACAGATGAGATCAGTATGAGTAGCAAGGGGGGTCTAAACCAGAGAAGCATGAACCTACTTTTTTTCATTCCTCCACAGCCTTTTTCCCACGATGCCTCGCCACAACTATAGTAAGGTGGCTCCCCTTGTGAAATCCCTCTGTGCCAAGCATGGTATTCCCTACCAAAGCAAGCCTCTGCTTACAGCCTTTGGAGACATTTTGCGGTAAGAGTGGCACAGATATTATGAACCCTGACTTGATAAGACAAACGAGTAATTGGCTCATGTAATCAGTCAGTCAGCTGAAGTGGATAAAGGGACAACCAAATCAAAGCCAAATCGATGTCTCCTGGACATGGTCTATATAATCGGGACAGCTGAAGGACACCTTGCCCCTGTCTCTCTTGTGCAGTGCATAATAAAAGCAGCTCCTTGAAATCTGCTAGCAGAAGATAGCTGGTAATGAGAACTACAGTAGCAACATAGATCCAATAGATAAGTAATGGCTATATAATCTCAAAGTCTTGGTGAAACAGATTATCTTTAGAGCATGATGTAAAACAAAGTAAAACAAATGACTTAACAACAGGAAATTCCACAGTCTATTAGTTTGAAAAGATCTGGACCCTTGTATCCTCCAGCTATGCTTCTGATGGTGATGAAGCACAACATACAGTATGTTCTCACATTACCTTAGCGGTTAGGTAAGATCAGGGTAAAACTAGAATAGTCCTTGGAAAATTATGATCAGAATGCCTGTTTCTTCACATTTGGGGGAAAATCATTGTGGAGCAAGTGGATTTCATATTAGGTTTATGGCCCTTAGGGAAGAAATTCGGCTCTTTCCTCCTTGCTGTTTTCTGCCAGGATATCCTTATCTGAAGTTATTATTTGTCCCATTAATCAAGAATTAATTATATAATGGAATGAGTAGAGCTTCAGATGAAATTGTTTTCACATGGAAAAATTAGGGAAGGAGAGTAACAGGTACAGTATGGTCCCGTTTGAAAGTTTTACATTTCTGCAAAAATGTAAGGTGATAGAAGAGGTGTAATTGATAAATTCCATATCTTGTCAAGACCTGTCACATACAGTTTCAAATCCAGATTTGGCATACAGTTTTGACTTTGCTAGTGGTGTGGAAATTATTAACTGAGACTAAAATGCTAGCTACCAAAGTAAGCTAGAAAAGTGCATTACTGTATGTCCTTGACATTGTCTCTCTCTGATTAAAGCTGAATGAAGAGAGCTATGAGTTGACATCTTTGTAAGCCTGTCTGTAGGATTGGACTTCCATTCAAGAGAATCCAAGGCTGCAGCTGAACATGCATTTTCCACTGCTTTAGGAGTATCCCATGAAGGAGCAAGCTCTTGGCTAAAGAGAGAAGAGAAAAGGAAAAACAGAAACTGATAAAATCACACACACACACACACACACACACACACACTGTCTACACTGCATTGAAAGAACATAGAAGAAGAAATCAGGGATTCTGTAGGCTACCTCCACCTGCTCCACTGATAAAGCCAGATCCCCTTGCCATTGATTGCAAAGGGGATCTTTCCTCACTTTCCCTATGCTCAGTTGCAGTGGGAAAGGACTCTCCGTGCATACTGATCACTGTGCACAGAAATGGGATCAAAGAAATATACGGTGGTAAGAAAGATGTTGAAGGGGTAGGAAGGCACACATTGTGACACATACTCTATCTTCCCTCTTTGTGTAATCCAAGACATGTACACTGTCTTGCAGATCTCTTAAGGACTCTGGAGAAGCCTGGCTTGAAGCATATCTGCATGAATAAGCATTAGTTTGAGAATGAACTCCATCCTGATGAAGATGCATCACACACTAGAGGGTGGCTGAAGGGCTAAGGAAGAATGTGGGGTCTGGTGGGTGAACAGGATAAGTGATAACTTTGCTGGGGTGAGGTAATTTTGATCCTTTCCTTCATCCTCTGTGCAGTGTTTCCTTGGGCATATGTTCTGTTTGTACTGTGGCTTTTGGGGGATATGTGAAGGGAAAGTTTGTACCCCTGTATGAACACTTGTATTTCACTTGTTGCTTCTATGAGATTGAAACCTGGCCACCTTTTTCCTTGTTTTAGGGAGAGGGGGAGGTTGTCAGGTGGGAGAGGCAGAGAGTTTAGAGCAGAAGGGCAAAGTAATGAGAAGAATGAAAATGATAATGTTTGTGAATAACATACATGTTACTTGAAAGACAACTTGAAGTTTTAGGATACCTTGCAAGATCCAGTGTTTCTTAAGAGGAAAGAGCAGAATTCTTAGATCAGTTGGGTATGTTCAAGTTTGAATCTTCAAAAATATTGTAAAAAGAGTACTAGTTGTGATTAGTTAGGTTTTTAATGTTCTTGAGAGCCTTACTCATATTTGATCCAGACCATGAGTTCTGGAAGGATTGTTTTCCCCCAGATGGATCTTTCCATATTGAATACAGAAAAACATTTAAGTATGCTGTCAGCAAGACCACGTTGCTTCCATGCTATCGAAGTCCCAAGTGATATCTTAACCAGAAACTATGGCCCACCTCCATACCAATATTTGAGCTTCAGCAGAAATAGCACAATTGATGCTCAGTTGTATGCAGATTCAGTGCAGACCTCTAGCTCACACACTTTTTAAAGTGTATGGTAGTAGGAAGGAGGACTCTTCCACTGTAGTCTGGACCACAGCCTCTGGAAAGTTGAGACCTGGGGTCATGACCTTTGTCTGGCAGCATGATTGAGACAATTTCTTTGTTAAATATCTGTTGTATTAATGTGTGATTGGTGCTTTTCAGTCTTCTGTTTATCCTTTAGCACACCCCTCTAGGATGTATGCCACGTCATGGGTGCCCATTTTATTTATTTGTATCTTTTAATATATTTCATAAACTGATTTGAATAACCATGCATGGTTGCCTTTTTATTTTGAGTAGTATAAATTTAAGCAGGAATCCAAAGCTTGGAACTTCTCTATGATTTTAGAAATTATAATTTCCTTCAAATATATTAAACACCAAGAAGAAGGAAGATGGGGAAAATATTTTTTTTCTGCATTAGGGGTGGAGACCATGGAAAAATGAAGGCATTGTTACCCAAGTGCTAAATTTGAAAAACCTGCTACCATGCAAACTGATTGTACTAGATCAGATTATCCATACATGACAACTCTGGGACAGCAGGATCTCAACTAGTGCACCGTGAAATAGGCAAAAAAAAAAAAAAAAAAGCTGACATCATAAATGTGTAATTACTGTGTAAAAATTATTTTTAAAATGGGATTTGGCATGAATTTAAAATGGGTCTCATTAAGCTCAGACCGTTGCAAAGGTAGAAGCAAACCTCTTCTCATGAGAACACCACATAAACGTATGAGTTCTTTAGCTTTCTTTCTAGAGCTTCAAACTTCATAGTGATGTGGTGGTAACTGCTCTTATCCTTGTACAGGTAGTCCTCATTTAGCTACTGACTTGTTTAGTGACCATTCAGTTACAGCGGTGATGGAAAAGTAACTTTGTGACCAGTCCTCGCATTTACTACCTTTGCAGGTCTGGAAAGCAAAAGAAAGCTGAAGTAAAGCACAGTCACAGTTTCACTTAGTGACCACTTCGCTTAACAACTGAATTGCCAGTCCCAATTGTGGTCGCTAAATGAGGACTACCTGCACTGATGAGCAGGACAGGATGCTTCTCAGCAACTTGGTAGCTGCTCTGTCATCTCTGACCCATGCTCCCAAGACATAAACAATTTACAAGCCATCAGGTAGTATTGTATTGTAGTATTGTATTTCTCTTAGTAGGGAGTCACCAACTTTCTTATCACTCTTATCTGTCAATCTACATTAGAATACAGGTAGTCCTCAGGTTACGACCATTCATTCAGCAACTGTTCAAGGTTATGGCAGCACTGAAGGAATGGTAGTTACACCTGGTCCTCAAAGTTACAGCCATTGCAGCGCCCCCATGGGCATGTGATCAAAATTCGGGCTTGGCAGCCTGCCCGCACTTAAAACAATAGGGGCGCTTTAACTCCATCCACCCTCCATCTGTGCCCTTTTGGCTGCCCTGTGCTCCACTGGCCCTGCCACCCCTGCCAGCCTTGCTGCCCCGCCATCTTCCCATTGAGTCCTTCTTTTGCACCAACACAGCTAGGCCTTCTTTCATGCACCTGCCTTCCAAAACCTTGTGAGAAGGCCATATGCAATTTGGACAAGGGGCAGGTGCAGCCTCAGGAAAAAGGCCTGGTGCAATTTGCAAAGGCCCAGGCTGAGTGCACTTCGTCAGCAGTGGGCAGGAAGAAGGGGGCAAAGGTCAGCTGGGGGCGGCAAGGCCCACAGGGGCGGCAGGGCCAGCGAACACAAGGTGGCAAGGCCAGCAGAGGCGGTAGAGTGCAAGGTGACCAAAAGGGCAAAGCTGGGGGAGGGATATAGGGAGGTGGAGGGAGTTGAAGAGGAGGCAGTCCCTTACCATATCAAGGCTCAGGACTGGGAGTGACCAAGCCAGGAGTGGCTTGGATTAGGGTGGGTCCTCAGCTAACAACCAGTGGAATTTGGTTAACAATGGTAACTGGGACTGCCAGGATTGCTATCACTAAGCTATGCAGTCACGTGACATTGTGCATTTACAACCACATCACTTAGCAACGGAAATTCCAATCCCAATTGCCATTGTAACTCGAGGACTACTGTATAACAGAGGGAGTTGGGATGAGATTCCTGTGAGGGGACTTCATTACTTTCCATGGTTAGTGCAGCACTCAATTGCAGATATTATTAAACCACATTTGGAGGGAAATCTGCAAGGAAAGTACAAAAATAATTTTCTCCAATTGCTTACAGCAATTGGTACTGTCCTTGTCAGTAATCATTACCTGGAAATCAATTGTTTTGAAAAAAAAATGTTTTTCTCTTTTAAAGAAGTAGCTGACTTTTTCAGAGCAAAGGTAGTTTCCTTGATGTTTAATATTTAACTGCTGTTGATAGGTTGTTCAACATTAATTTATGGAATTCCACAAAACCAGAAGCTATGATATATATAACAAAGCTGAACAAAGTTCCAGAGAGAACTCTTTAAATATCATAGGTGTATATAGTCAATATGCTACACCTATTTTTTAAATAAGAGTACTGTCTATTTGCTCATTCCAGTTAGTATGAGCATGTCAAATTTAGTGCCATATTTGGGAGTAGAGAAGATGCTGTGAAAAGCTGTACAGGACAAATCAAGCGTTATTTAGGGTCTGGATTTGTAGATCTCTGTCACCCAGGGACTACCTAAATTCAGATCCCCAACATGGTACCCATGATTATTAATGTACCCACACACATCTCACTTAGTGCCCAGCCAGATGACTTTATATTTTGGAAAACATCTCCTTCATTAAAATCTAAGAAGCTGGCATGCTTCAAAGCAAAACGCCAGTGTCCAACTTCATGTTCCTTTCCAAGAATGCCTCTGGCCCGAAATGGAGTTAATCAGCTTGATGAGTAGATGCATTTCAGTACTTTGTAAGCGTACCCACCCCACACACACCCCCAGAAAAAGAACACAGGTAAGTAGGGGAAAAAACATTCTGGTAAATTTGTGCTTTGTAACGGGTTATATCCCCAGGCAATTATAAGCCATTTTGCAAAAGTGTTCACAGCATGCTTTCAAAATTTCAAATGTGCCAACCTTGGCCAAAAAGGATGCGGACATCTGTCTTAGGCTCACTTTCCGCCCGGGTTTCTAATTCCAAATCTTTGGCTTATTATTCTTCCTGATTGCTGAGCCTGTGTGATTTTTCTCACCCATCTGACAAGCCATAGCATAATTTTGTTTTTGACCATTTTGTTTCCAGAAATCTATTGCCTACAGATGTCTCTGGAAGTTCATGGAACAAAGTGCATTCTTTTTTTCCCCATTTTTAAGCGCTCGGATGTAAAAGGATGTAGCCATGGGGATACTCTACTAGTGCAAAGCTTCTTCCCCTTTCGGAAACCCTGCTTCATCGGTTTGGTTTGATTTGGTTTTTTCCTGTTCAGGCAACCTTGGCTCTGTGGTTTTATGACTCCTTGCACTTTGCGTTGCTTGGAGTTCTACCAGCTTGATTAAAATGTGCTAGTTGCCGTGGTGAGCTCTAATATGTATGTACATATGTGTGTGTGTGTGTGTATACATATACATATACATATACATATACATATACATATACATATACATGCACTCTGTTTATGGGCTTGTAAACTACTGCTGTACTCCACTGTGCCTTTTGCTGCCAAGAACTTTTTACACTTGTAGTTAGTATGGCCTGCTTCCAGCAATTCTTCTCCCAATCTAAAAAGGTGTTTTGCAGAGCAAGGATGTGTGTTACAACTCTAATTGCTCTCTTTTGTTCTGTGCTTCTGAGTATTTCAGATGCAAATGCAAGCAGCCAGGCAGGGAGGATCTTTTGCTGAAGTTCTCAGACATGGGGGGGGGGGGGGGGCGGCAGGCACATCCAAAAAAATTTGCCCCCCTAAAAAGCCAAACCAAAATCGGCAATTTTTTTTAAAAAAAA